TTTTTTTTCTGCTGTGAAAAATTTTACTGTCAGACACAAGCTGGGTTTATAAGGACCATAATTTATCCTTTTAGCAATAAGGCGACCACCGTGAAAGTGTGTCGTGTAACTGCCTCTAACCCTTGGTGTTGACTTGTTTCCCTGTGTGATTTGTTACTTTTTATTTATTTTTATTCGCTCAGTGAATGTTAAGGAAGAAATTTTTGCACTTATTGTTTCTCTTGCTGTACATAATCAAAATGTTTGCATTTTATACTCAGAGGCGTATATGCAAATAAAATGGATTTGGAACTTCTTAGCTAACCCCTAGTCAATCAGGCCTCTATCAAATCCCCAAAATTAAGTCGTACCTACAGTATGTGTCTCTCGTTTTACACAAACAAACTTTACTCTCTCATCAACTCTTTTACCTCCTCTGGTATCATCACCAGCGGGTAGCGGTCCTCAGACAGGAGGTTGAATAAACAGAAGAGCTTGAAACAGTCTCTTTCAGATAGCAGTGCCCCTTGTGGTAGCCCCTTGAAGTTCTTCTTCCTGGTCATCATCCAGCACAGGTCATCAAACTTCTCCTTGTCAAACATACCCTCTTTGACCTGAAAAGACAGAAAAAGACTTCTAATGACTGAAACATAATGGGTATGATAAATCACTCAACCAATGAGGTTATGTCTTTCTCCTAACCTAAACCCAGATTCATGGAAAGCTACTGCATCTACGGAGGTTTGACTTAAACCAAGGAGATTATATCTGCCTCTACAAGCAGCTCTGCTTCTAAGAAATGTTTGTAAAATGAAATTTCCAAAGTTCCTGGTAAGAACAACCCAATATCATTCATAAGCCAGTAAATGATAGATATTAAGTGTGCACATTTTACAAATATGTTCAAATTCTAATGTAAGAGGAACTTAAAGGACATGACTGGCAATATCTTGTTGTCAACAAATCCCATAAAAAGAAAGGTAACAAATCTACAAAAACTACACACTTTCCTTACAGCTATCCACTTTAGTTTTTAGCAAATGTTGCTCAATTTGGAGTAAATACTGTATTTTTTGGGAACTATTTTCAGTGGTGGATTAATATACATTTTAAGTGTTTACAGCAGCAGGGCAGTGTATGTGGGATTGAGTCAAAATAAAACTCCAGTGTGTGTTCTCCCAGAAGGAAGCCTCTTCTAAAGATGATGCATAAGAAAGCAAACAGTTTGCTGAAGACAAGCAGACTAAGGACATGGATTACTGGAACCATGTCCTGTGGTCTGATGAGACCAAGATAAACTTATTTGGTTCTGATGGTGTCAAGCATGTGTGGCGGCAACCAGGTGAGGAGTACAAAGACAAGTGTGTCTTGCTTACAGTCAAGCATGGTGGTGGGAGTGTCACGGTCGGGGGCTGCATGAGTGCTGCCGGCACTGGGAAGCTACAGTTTACTGAGGGAACCATGAATGCCAACATGTACTGTGACATACTGAAGAAGAGCATGATCCCCTCCCTTCGGACACTGGGCTGCATAACGACCCCAACACACCTCCAAAACGACCACTGCCTTGCTAAAGAAGCTGAGGATAAAGGTGATAGACTGGCCAAACATGTCTCCAGACCTAAACCCAATAGAGCATCTGTGGGGCATCCTCAAATGGAAGGAACATCCACCAGCTCTGTGATGTCGTCATGGAGGAGTGGAAGAGGACTCCAGTGGCAACCTGTGAAGCTCTGGTGAACTCCATGCCCAAGAGGGTTAAGGCAGCGCTGGAAAATAATGGCGGCCACACAAAATATTGACACTTTGGGCCCCATTTGGACATTTTCACTTAGGGGTGTCCTCACTTTTGTTGCCAGCGGTTTAGACATTAATGGCTGTGTGATGTGTTATTTTGAGGGGACAGCAAATTTACACTGTTATACAAGCTGCACACTCACTACTTTACATTGTAGGACAGTGTCATTTCTTCAGTGTTGTCACATGAAAGGATATAATCAAATATTTATCAAAAATGTGAGGGGTGTACTCACTTTTGTGAGATACTGTATAAAATAGGCTATATATATTTAACTCTTGACAAATTAAATAAAACTTTTTGATATATAACATTTCTGTATATCTATATTCCAATAACTGCTATGAGGAGGTGATTTCAATACCCACAGTACCTTATCCAGAATATATTTGTTGAGGTAGGGCATGTAGCCATGATTAGACACTGGCCCATCATCATCATCCTGGAAATGCTCCTCCAGAGCCACAGGGTCATGTGGGATATTCAGCACTGTGTACAGGTTGTGGGAAAGCACCTGATGAGGTAACACAGAGAGAGAGAGATACAGTACATTTATATATATATATATATATATATGCACACAAACACAGTCTCAATATCACTTCTGCGCCCTCCCTATTTCTTCATATATCCACAAACACACACAAGCACAGACAGCCTTCAGGGACGGAGCGTGTCAGGACAGTTACCGCTATTTCCCTGGATTCTTCTCTCCTGTGGGGGCTCAGTCAGGCATGTAGGAACCGGACAGAAAGAAACATGACAGACAAAAATAACCCTCACTGAGGGGAAAGATGACAATAAAAGATATGTACTTGTTGTGTTCTCTGCCTTGCCTTTTTATTTGAAACCCTGACCATGGTGGTGACTAGCCTATTTGTGATTCTGTGCCACAGAAAAAAAGTTGGACTTTGATCTTAAAGCTGAAACATGGGCTCACACCTCACCTTCACTCTGAGCAGGTTACGTATTTGTTGGAAGAAGTGTTTAAAGCTTTCTCAAATATTTGGATTGTGTGAGCTTGTACGGCGTTTGAGTGTTGACGGTTCCCAAGATTACAACGTTAATTCACATAGTCCAACTTAATATTTCACAACATATGTTAGGCCTATATAAAAACTATAGAGACTGGTGGGTTTTGGTTTGTCTTAATAAAAAAGGGAATTTAAAGGAAATGTTAGCGTTAAGTATGTGCTGTCCAGTGGACGCCCCTCCGTCTCAGTTTCCTGATTTTAAAATGACTGCATACTTACCTTTAACTGCGATTTGGACACTTTCCCGCACTTCTCGACGTCCAGCGATGTGAAAGCGTACCAGATGGACTTGAGGAGTTCGGATTTTAAGTCCATTTTGGGGAGCTCGTCGTGCGCAAAGCAACTACATTTCCAAGCGCAGCGCGGCAACTTTTACGCAGGGACGGGCGAGCTGTGGTGGTGAGAATCGCCAAATAAAATGTGGGACAGAGTACAGGCTGCTGTGCAAACTGCAAAGGACCAAAATGAGTCAGATGTAGGGCAGACTTAAAGAGGCAGAGAGCAGAGACGCAGGGCTGCACTTTCCTCCACTATAGTTGAAAAACGATTTTTTCACATGCGAAACACTTAGAAAAGTCTGGTTTACATTCTTATAATATATGTGTGATAATTTTCTCGCCTTCTGCTCTATAGGTTACATGGATCTGGATTAAAAAACACAAACTTACAGAGCTAATGTAGACATATCCACGCTACATTTCCAAGACATTTATCCAGATAGTAGAGGGTGGATATCTGAATTCCTGAATTGCTGCCATCCAAATACCGAATAAGAGGTTCTCTGCTATCAGATACAGGAGGCATATCGAGATTTTAGAGACACGCCCATTTTTATAAAGAGCAAAAAGCCATATTTTCTGATAGAAGTGTCAAAATCTGCAAAGTTAAGGGACACCACAGTATTTTGAATTCACAAAAACACCTTTAAACATCTCTGAATGTATTATGACAGTATATATATAATATAACCTGTCAACTCTGAGAAGTTCCCCTTATAATATACAGATAGTATAAATGTTAAAACCTGATTAGCCTAATTAAGGTTGTGATCCTTTACATCCTTAATCAAGTAATTCTATGTTCTCCTCACTGCTCTCCATATTTAGGAAGTGTTTTTGGGGTGGTGGAGATCTTATGGTGACTTTAATTTGCAGCACTCTGCAGCCATTTTATGTCCCTTCTGGTGAGCATTTGTTTTTGCAGGATATAAGTTATAAATTGTGCACATTAAAGTGCCCAACCCAAAAGAGTTTTCAGAGGTAGCAAAAATGTGGATTCCCTGACAAGTCCTTCCCTGAGGTGTTGCTTGAACATCTCTCAGAACTCATCTTTTGTGTGATGAAACTGCTGGCGGGGATGTAGCAACCTAAGGGAAATTAGGTTACACAAGGACAGTGTAATCAGACAGAAAGCATCAGCAAGCCTTATTGGGCATAATGTAGGCTAATCAATACCATAATTAGGTCATGAAAAAAATGGTTGTCATTGTTTGGATGCCACAGCCCAAAGCCTCCCTGTCACTAAAGGTTGATATATATAGGTTTTAAGGTTAACTTTGTGATAAATTATGAAAATATACATCATATTACCCTATTTGACTGAGGATGCAGCCTATAGATCATGATTTTCTGCTCCATAAACTAATCAATGCTGGGTCAGGCTGTTGTGTTTCATCACACTCAGCAGCGAATCTGTATCTGTTGCCTCCCCTTCAAGGGCACATTTAATCACCCTTGTCTCAGGTGGTAGAAATGAGATGTCATTCAGTAGCCATAATTCAGAATTGCAAAGCCAGAGGTCACAGTGAGGATGGACCCCTCCCAGTGTGGAGTTTTTACCACTGTGGCACATGTCCAGCATGGCCTTTCTTATAAAATAAAGACCTAGACATCTTTGTAAAGGTCTTTAAAATGCAGACATCCCCCAATCTGTGGATGAGGGATATCATCTTCACTTTTTTCTACTTAAAAAGAAAAAAAAACTCATGTTACAAGTACAAAATTTAAGTGATTCACAAGATGTACCTTTACCAAAGCTGTATGTTGTTTTGTTTTTACATTTATGAATACATTAAAATTAAATTACAAGAATGCTGTTGCCATTTATATATTTAATATATTCAAGGGCAGCAGACCTTCACATTCCCATTCCCAGTGTCTAATCAATATCATATCCTGCAATGAGGCAAAGATTTTTTGTTTATTGTCGACAGATATAGTTTACAGTTTCAGTCATGCTTGTTTGCACTGTTGGTAATTGATAGAAGACATAATACAATAATGAATGTGGAATAAATAAATATATAGACCATACATTACAATTACAAGAGCAATAAAATGCCTATCCTGAAAGGTGGGCTGTAGTCTATGATGTTGAGTTATCTCAGTGCATATAGTAATCACGTGTAATAACAAGTTCATATGAGAAAAAACACTATGACATTCATACACTTTGATTTCTTGCAGAGAGTTAGATGAGAAGATCGATTCAGATTGTCTGCATGAATAGATCATTTGGAATTTGGCTGACCTTTTAAATGATGTATTGGAGGAACAAAAAACCTGCATGTGGCGCAGTGAAAATCTCAAAATAAAATAATACAACACCAAAACATAAATATAGTCTACATAATGACAAACCTAACAATAGCAGACACATTTTACTAGCTGAATTTTTTGATTAAACCTGAGGTACTCAGAAATTTGACTGGACTATCTGTTCAATGAGGCAGCTCCAATAATTTACTACAGTTAAATCCAGTTTGCATTATTACAACTCATGTTTTTATTTTATTTTATGATTATAAGCTTAACACATCTATGGACATGCACAGTAATGCCACTACTGCAAATATTATAGACATTGCATTTTAGCAGCGACCCCCCCCCCCCAAAAAAAACCTTCAATCTAAAGATTTTGTGTAACTGGCCTGAAAGTGGGTGTCCACGCTGGCTAAATATCAAGCTACAGCTAGGAGATGGTTAGTTTAGCATAGCAAAAAAGACTGTAAACAGGGGGAAACAGCTAGCTTGGCTCTGTCTAATGGTAACAAAATCCACCTACCAACATATCTAAAGCTCATTAATTAACGTGCTATGTTTATTTACCATTTTTGGACAGATGCAACAAAATTGAAGTGAATCAACTACACAAGCTATCTCCTTCCCCATGCTCTCAGTCTTTATGCTAGGCTAAAATAACGGGCTGCTGGCATTAGCTTCTCATTTAGCGCACAGAGTGGTATCAGTCATCTCATTTAACTCTTGACAAAAAAGCAAATAAGGATAGTATACTATTACTGAACTATTTATTTAAGTCAACTTGAGTTTGATTATTGAAGAAAAGAAATCTGATCTAGACTTCTACTCACTGTTTCATGCTAGTAGTGGGTTACACAAATCTGGGTCATGCCAATGTATGTGAGCATTTAAGGAGAAATGTTCAAAAGTGTTATTCACAATATTTAAAACAATTTTGTGCTTCAGAATATACAAACTCTAGCAACATAGAGACATCTGGAAGAATTTTTAAAGCAGTCAATATCTTACCAAAGTACCTCAACAGAGTAGAAATTACTACAGCCTCTCAGATAAACAGCACAAAATATCACACAGCAATAGATTATTAAGTTCTTTTCAAAAGCACCATTCTAGCACAGTGTAGTCTATGTGATGGGAAAACTAAATGAAGTAGATACAAACATCTGCTGAACACAGCCAGACTAAATCAACTGAAGTGGAAATCTGCTGGTGAGCATTCCTGTGCATTCAGTGGAGAGATGTACTGCTGGAAGTAACCAAAATGAGTAGTTTAACCATAAATAATTGTTTTTAATATGTAATTTTTAATACATTCTATTATAATGAAGCATATTATATATCCATGCCAATATTGAAACATTTCTGAAACAAAATCATTTAGCAAAATCAGGGAGCTTGTTCTGCTATATTTTTTACAGTCTGCTGCCCAATCTGGTCCCCCCCAAATTTGTGATGCCCGACTTCCCCTTTGCAGGTATCAAATGGACAGAAGCTTAACTTAAGGAAACACCTCTTGTGTCACACATTCCTCCCACCCGCACTGAATCAAAGACGCCTTTCTTGAAATTGTGCAGAAGACAAAGTCAGACAAACTATGAGTGTAAGAGTTGCGAAGTTTGAGGAGCATTGTCTAGGCATAAAATTTATCAAGATGTCTGAGATAATTTGCCACTTCGCAACTCTATTACTCCATAGTTTCCAATCCTAATTATTTACAAATTCGTCAATCCAGGTTAGTTTGCCTGTTTTTTTAATTGACCATTAATGTGCCACCACACGTTGCTGCTGTCTTGGGGCCAGTTTGTTGGCCAGCAGACAAGCCAGCGCAATTCCTCCTATCTGGGTGAAGGCCAGTCCTAACACAGTGGCGGCAATGTGGAAGACGTTGTCGTTGACCAAACTGAAAACTTTGCGGAAGCAGCCGTGTGGATGGATTCCTGCAGCTGCCACTCCTTCGTTATCATCTGACAGAAGTGGCCGATTCTTGCAGCCCTTACGCCTCATGCAGCAGCTGTCCGGCAGGGACAACGAGGTGCCGTTCTCTGCGGGCAGGAAGGTCATATGCTGGATAGCCCAGTCTGAAGTGAGCCAGTCACGCCAACCCTCAGCTCCACAACACTCCAGGGCCCTCTGCAGGCTGTCTAATGCATCAGCACGGCCTTCATCCTCTGTGTATCCGGCCACCGCTCGCAGTAAGCCGCTGCGAAATCCTCCGGCAATGTCTTCACGATAGAAGAGACCTGAGAGTCCAGCAGCCAAACCGGCAATAAGTGCAGCAAGTTGAAAGAACCCATAAGCCCTAAGAACGCAGGGCAGGTTTGCAGCCACCCCCAGACAACCCAGGAAGCCCCAAGCGGTGATGGCAGCACCTGTGGACAGAAGGATGATTGGGGCGTTTGGGTAGCGATTGGCAGAAAGGAGCATGAAGTCTGCCAGTGAAATCTGTGCCCACACACCCAGGGTGAAGATGGCCAGGCCGGCTGCCCAGAAGAGGCAGCTGAAGGCCATGAGACCCAGGCGCAGGAGGTGCATGACTCCCACTGGGCGGCAACAGGGTGGGGAAGTACCCACAGGTGGAGGTACAGGTGGCGCCAGGGAGGCCTCTGAGCAGACAGACAAGGATAATCGCTGCTGCTGTTGATGGAGCTGCTCCTCCTGCTCTTGGTATGGTGAAAGCAGATAGCCAGGGATCGCAGAGGGTCGCTGAGGAAGAGGAGGTGGAGTAAGCAGGTCGAGACCCCGTGGAGAGGAAAGTCGTCGCACCGCCAGATGCTCGTGTTCCCAGTCCAAAGCTCGTCTGCTTGGACTCGACCGAGCTGACAGTGAGCCGTAAGGCGGTGGAACACTCATGATCACTCTACGGCTTTATCTACTCCTCTCTCTCTCCCTTTTTACACACTCCTCCTCCCTCTTCCTTCCTTTATCAGTGCCTTCACTCTCGTCCTCCTGCAACACACAATCCCCCACTTCTTTATGACTGGTTATTAATCCGCCACCAACACCACCAGCGCCAACTGGACAGTAAATCACACTGATGGGTGTTGCGCCGCACCGTTATCTGCATCCACAGCCTCCTCGTTTCTACCTTATTTATTTGTTTATTTCGGGCATTCTTTCCACCTGCATGATTACCAGCTCTTCAATTCCTCCGCTGATAGTCACATCCCGACATCTGTTCGCTCACTGCTGCCCCTCGTTCTGGTCAAGGCGAGAGGTGATTGCAGTGGGAAGGACCTGAAATCAACCGATGCACACCCTCTCTCGGTGTGGAGGAGACATCCCTTTGAGTTTTACTAGTCCATTTTTCTAATAAATTAACTGGGGAAAAACTCTTTCACTGTCATTCAGTGTATGTGACGTGTTTGTAAAATGTAAAAACTGTCCCCATGTGCAACTTTAATGATATCGTGACAGCTGCCAGAATAGCTAGTAGTAGTATTTTTGGGGGAACAATGTCAGTGAAGGAGCGACTAAAGTTGTTTATAATTTTTATAGAGCTTGAATTTGATTTGAAAATAAATGATCATATTTGTGTCATCTCTTTAAACTTTTTAAATTATGGTCCTATTACATTATTACAAAAATACATGCAAACTATATAGTACATAAAATCACATCCTCAGGTCCTCTAAAACCTTGATTGAACACTTAATACTCAATACAGAAATGCATTTATGAGAATAATAACATATTTGTTCTTTTGTGAAGCTTTTTATGAAAAGATCAAATTCCTAATTGCAATTATATATTAGTCAAGCTAATTTAAATTAACGTTATAGAATCATTAGCTGAAGTTTTTGTCAATGGTCCATTTGTCTTTTGAAAAAGAAAAAGGCTGTGGAGAATCTGGACCAAAAAACCCCAACTTTTATTAACTTATTGGACTGATCATTGTCACCATCCTTTCCTGCAGACTTATTAACATTTATAGATTTAATGACTTATTAGAAATTGAGAAATCCAGGAGCATTCTTCCACGGACAACCAACATAACTATTATTACCAACCAGAAAAACAGCCAAAGGGATTTACTAACACGAATGAAGCCACTAAGTTATTAAAGGGTGCAATATTAGAAAGTAGTTCGACATTTACAATGTGGATGTTGGACACTGCCCCCCCCTTAAAAACAGACTTATAGTAGTAGACTTATAATAGTCACAGTGGTATTACCCAAATAAAATAGAAGTGGCCAAGAAATGGACTTTGTTTTCACATTATGCTAACTCAGTTACTGTATTATGGATTGTCTCATCTAGAAATGTTACTTTTTTACATTATGCAATGCTAAAAATAGATTTAAAAACCTGCACTGGAACTGCACTTTGTTGGTCCCCTGTTGCAGCCAGTTTCATCGTGGTGATTGCTGCTCGGCATTGGCTTCCCTCCCACCAACTGTCCACCCAATCAGAGCTAATTAAAGCCTCTCAGTTAACACATTCAGATGGCTCTTTTTATAAGGACAAGGAGTGACATGATGACAGAGGGGGGAATACCCAAATAGATTGGCTGGGAAGAGGAAGGGTGTGCAGACTTCCAATGTGGTATTATACTATAGCCTAGATCCCACATTTTGTTGACTTGGGCTGCAGACATAGTTTTGAAGCTAAATGTATTTTCCCTGTATTTAAAAACCGACCTCAACATCTCATGTTTTGATTTATAGTCTTTGCCATGTTACTACAGCATCTTGTTCTCCAGTGTGTGAAGAATACAACAGCGAGCAGGGTGAAGACAGATGGATTTCGCCACAGATCGCTGGAGGTCTGCAGAGGAAATGAGGTTTATGATGTTTATAATTAATCTTTGCTCCATAACCATCAGCTCATCGAGTTTTATGTGAATGCAGGATGAGATTTCAAAGGCTACTCCAATACAGCTTCTTGAAAATACAGGCGTGGGGAAACCACTCCACTATTTTTGGTGGCTGCAGAATCACCCTTTTGAAACAGACAATGAAAGCAACACCTTAAAGCAGTGTTTCCCCAACCTTTCTGGCTTGTGACTCTTAAAACACTCGCAACCCCTTCGTACATGTTACATACGTCTACGTGTGTAATTTATCCATCTTATATGGTAAAAACAAGATAGTCTACAGCACATGCTACAATCTCTGCTTTCAGCTAAATGCTACTGTAAGCATACAAACATCTTAAGCAGGTATGTTTACCATGTGCACCATCTTAGTTTAGCATGTCAGCATGCTAACAATTGCTAATCAGCACCAAAATACAAAGTACAGTTGAGACTGATGGGAATGTCAATAGTTTTTCAGATATTTACACATAAACCAAAGTATTGGACAAATAAATGTTTTACCTGATGATGGTGCTGGAGGAAAAGTCAAGGGAATAACTAATGTACATGAATGTCTGCCCTAAGGTTGAGACTCAAAACAGCCTCATTGTGGAGCTAGAGGGGGAAAAAAGGCAAAGTTTAGAAAATCTCATTTGGGCAGCATAAACATGTTTTTTCTGGTTTTCTGTCCCTGTTTATCACCCACTGACCCCTCCTGATTAGACCCCTAGGTGGGGTGTGACCTCAGGTTGAGAATATGCCCTGACATATAATGCAATCTAACACTAAAGAAACAGCAAAAACAGAACATTATGCACTTCATAAAAGGTGGCATTTACTGCCTGACATTGATCATACAGGTTTTCGTTTTATGGCATTGGCCCTGTCTAGTGTAGACCTTATAACTTAAAAAATAAATAACTTTAGCTACATGTTCTCGATTATACAGGCATTAAATTATGGGGCGCCAAATGTAAAAATTCAGATACAATTTTATAGGTGATATATTTTGATTATTTAGCTCACTTTCCTCACATTTAGCTACATTTTCTCACATTTGAGACAGAAATTCATGTAAAACGACATGTTATATGCAATTGTCAACAATATGTTTATAAAAGTAAAATAAAAAGTAAAATGTTAAATCTAAATCTAATCTAAATCTCTTTATTTGTTTTAATACAAAGCTAAAACTGTCTGTGCACCCCACTGACACACAATACTATAGTATGGAGAAAGAAACTGACAATATATGGAGTGAAAAATTAATTTAATGGACAATTTTGTTCACCTGTGATTTCGACTTCAAACTACTTTATATGATGATTTAAACATTTTTGCTTTCCCTGTTGCAAACTTTAAAGGAAAGTGGAGATGAGAGAGTAAAGCTGCACATCTAAAAACACTGATATGTCAAAATGATTTATGTTTAACGAATTTAAAAATCAGTTTTTTACATTTACTTAAACAGATGAAGGGAGCAACACTACCAAACATGATTTCCTTTTTTCCAAATATTCTCTCCTAATCAGAACTTGTGAATTTGTGATAAATCAAAACATGTAAACTCAAGCATCCTGAAACATTTTACATTTCTTTTTCACAATTCCGTTAACCTAACCACTGAGATAGTCTCTGTTATTCATTTAACTTTGTGATTCCTCAGGCTGTGCTGCTTCTCCCTCGTCCCTGTGTGTCTCCATGTGTTTCTTCAGCTTGGCCTTGGATGTGAACGTCTTCATGCACTGCTCACAGTACGGCTTCAGTGGCTTCAACCCTGAATGGCTGCGCTTGTGTCGCGCTAGCTCCGATGAGCTCTTGAACTTGAGCTCGCAGATGCTGCAGGGATACGGCCTCTCCCCCGTGTGAATGCGCTGGTGCAGCTGAGCCTCGCTGAGGGTGAGGAACGTCTTCTCGCAGTGTCCGCAGGGGAATGGTCTTTCTCCTGTGTGAATGAGATTGTGCCTGGTCAGCGCGTACGGTTTGGTGAAGCCCTTCCCGCAGTAGGTACAGGGGTACGGGCGGGCGCCGGTGTGGGAGACGATGTGTTCCTGCTGGGTTTTCTTGCTCTTGAAACGTTTGTCACACTGAGGGCAAGAGTAGGGCCTGTCATCCACGTGCGACCTGTGATGTTTTGAAAGCTCTCCCTGCGACAAAAAGCCCTTCCCGCACTGAGAGCAGAGGAACGGTTTCTCCCCAGTGTGCATCCTCTCGTGTCTGGCCAGAACAGACACCAGGGTGAACCTCTTGGGGCAGTGGGAGCACTGGAAAGGCCGCTCGCCTGTGTGAACACGGAGATGTTTCATGAGCATAAAGCGGAGCGAGAAGCGCTTGCTGCACTGGTCACACTGGTAAGGTCGGTCTCCAGTGTGGGTTGATAGATGCCTCTTCACATCAGATCTCCGAGTGTATGTCTTCTCACAGTGTGGACACTTAAACTGATGCTTCACTTGATGCATCTGCCGGTGCTGGGAGCGCGCGAGCAGGGAGTCGAAGCCGTCGCCGCACTGCTGGCAGATGTAGCGTTTACTGGTGACATGGGACTTCCTGTGCTCGAGCAGCTCAGAGGAAGTTGGGAAGCTCTGGCTGCAGATGGAGCAGATCTGAGGAAGCTGCCTCTCCTGCGAGTGAGACTTCTTGTGGTGGACGGTGAGCGCGCGGAGGTTAGCGAAGGAGCTCCTACACAGCTGGCAGGAGAAAGAAATGGCTGCGCCATGATGTTTGCTCTCATGTTTGGCCAGATCCCACGAGTGCTGGAAAGTTCGGTCACACTGCGAGCAATGAAATGGTCTCTCTCCGGTGTGAGTGAGCTGGTGTCTCCTGACGTCTGATGTCCGAGTGAACGTCTTACCGCATGTTTCGCATGTGTGGGCCTTCTGTCTGCTTTGGGACTGAGGCACATTTACTTTGCTTTGACTGTCAGGCTGTTCGGTTTTGCTCTGCTCGGTGTTTCCTTTGGGGAAGAGTTTAATGGATGTAAAAATTTCATCCGTGCTGGAAGGACACGGTGTAAACTTGGCTCTTTCGAGAGTCCTGTACACCTCAGTGCGAACGCTCTGCATGTGGAAGTGAGGAGGGCTGTTTTCATCTGAGATGTGGAAGGGACACTGTGAGCATGTGAAGATGATAGATGTCATCTCATCCGAATCACCTGCAAATAAATAAAAGGTGTGCGTAAAATATGTGGATATTATTTAAAAAAGATTTTATTCCAAGATGATTCAAAATATTACCTTTGTTGATTCCTTTGATGGCTATAACCGAGGGGGCCAATGATACATCAGCTCCACTCCTGGTGAAATAACAAAAGAACATTTAAATGTGGATAACTCATATTTTTTTTGCTTTTGACATGTTTGGATAATAATTGTGTTTTGGGAAATGGTATGTAAAGTGTTAGGAAATGAATTCCCTATAGGCGTATGCTACTTTATCTGAAGTAAGTGTAATAGGAAGCGTTAGATATTTGATATAATCATTTTAAAGTAAAAAAAATCGAATAAAGAAATTGTTCGAAATTTTGGTAAATATGCGTATTTGCCTTCTTGCTGAGAGTTAGATGGAAAGATTGACACCACTCTCATATCTCTACAATAAATATGAAGCTAGAGCCTGCAGCTGGTTAGCTTAGCTTAGCACAAAGACTGGAATCAGGGGGAAACAGCTAGCCTGAGTAATTTACACTTTATGTACATTTCACATATGTGTTGTTTCAAGTGTAAAAACAACAAATATTTTTATGGGGCTTATATGTCAGACAACTTCTTGGCCGGCAGATGTTTACACACTTTGGTTTGGCTAGAAATTTTTTCCATTTCTTTTAGCAATTCAGCCATTTTGTTTTTTGAAGCTAAGCTAACTAGCTGCTAGCTGCACCTTAACACAGAGAGTTGTACTGACCTTCTCATCTAATTTTTGGCAAGAAAACAAAAAAGTATATGTCCTAAAATGTAAAATATTCATAATAGTTGTATAACTTTCTATACAAAGAAAAAGAAAAGAAACAAGACGGGTTCAATTGGTGGTGTCGATTTACTTTAAAAAGAATACTATCTTAAAAGAGGAAGCAATTCTAGTATTACAGTACAAATGGTTTATGTACGTTTTTGGTTCTTCGCTTGTTTCCTTGGATGACCTCTTGATTCTCCACGTCTCCTGCTGACTGGGTGACGTTTTCCGTTGTAGACGAGTGGATCTGCGCACATTAGCTGAACAAGGAGACTGTTGTGTTTCAGATATCACAGCTTCACTGGAGACATCTGTCATTTCTTCATGGACATAAAATGATTTGTTGTTATCTTTCAAGTCTGTACAAGAGCTCATATTGCTCTCTATATCCCCAGTTTGGAAATCCTCCTTCACCTCTTCAACAACGTTTTCTCTGTTCTCTTCAGTTTGGTCCCTTGTATCACGTCCGTCATGTGCATTTTCTTCATCTGGTGCATTTTCTGAAGCAAGGTCATCATGAAGAGATGAATCGTTACTCTTTCCTGTCACTACGTCTTGACCAAGGCTCTCCTTCCTTAGTGCAAAAGTTTTCGTCAGAGTCTCCAGAGCTTTAGCGACATCCACAGCTTCACTTGTTTCTTCTGCCCTCAAGCTGGTAGCCTCCTCATCACCGGTGTTATCTGCACTTACAGCCACTATCTCTTCTTCGTAGAAATCGGTTTGAACTTGCACTTCGCCTGACTCGATTATTTCTTCACCCACTTCAGGCTCTCCAACTTCCACTTCGGTGTAGACGGCCACGACGCTGTATTGGTCCGTTCCAACAAAAGTGACTGGGTTCAGTATATTAGCATAGCTGTGGATTGATTCCAGTCCGACAGAGAGGTTTGTCTTTTGCGAGGGAGGAATGGATAAAGCAGACATGATGCAGTTACCAATAGTGGATGAAGGGCCATCTATAAAAAAAGAAAACAAGGAATCACTGTTTGAAAAACGAAACTTTTAAGGCACTTGCATGTAGTGCTGTAACTAAAGACTACTTTTATCAATTAATCTTCTAATTGTTTAGGGTCCTTGTGACATTTTTTCCAGGTGAAATTCAAATAGTTTGTTTTGTCAGACCAGCAGTCTAAAACCCGAAGGGTTTAGATTACAATGATATTTAGGGCGGGATATTGGTACTGATCTCCAAATGTGATTATATTCTGATTAAGAAACTCCTGATTTAATTCGATTGAGGATTCAGTTGCATCAGATAGTATCAATATTGCATAAATATAAACGCCTTCTCAGGATTTATTTTGAAAACTCAAATATCTTTTTATTCCACACAGCAACTCCCGTGTTCTTTTGAATATAAACCAGCTTTATGTTCCATTTAAAAAGTGAAATTGTAAAAAAAATATTTCCCTAAACAGGTAGCCATGTCTATAAAAATATGAAATGTATAACAAGTAACCTAGTGCACAGCTTTTTGTGAAAATTTACACATATTCACTAAGAAAAAGCACAGATGTAAGAAACAATCTTGAATGTTTAAGACTGAAAATCTGTTTTTTACCCAGGCCTAATAATAAAACAAAGAGAAAAGTCCTTAAATTTAAGAAGCTTGAACCAGAGCCTGTCTGGCATTTTGACTTAAATTGACTGCAACAATTTTCTGTTGATCAACTAATCATTCCAGATTTACTCACATGGCATTTTCAGTACTCCTGAACTTCTGTAGTGCTGAAAGATTAAGCTCAGCTCTTCAGTTGAGGACTGAACACATTCTTCCAGCACAGGAGGAGCAGAGCCGAGCCAGGCTGCAGTCTGTAATCACAGGTTTAAGTTTGGCACATGTTTTGCTGCAGAATAACAACCCGAGACAATGTAGATGGACGGACTGAATACCTGTTTTAAATCGGGTACTGGAAGCAGCTTTTCCAGTTTTGAGAGCAGCTCCCACAATAACACATGCAGAGCAGCATCATATTGTGGCCCATATTCCACTGGAAAAACCTCCTGCAAGAGATAATTATATTTCTAATTACTATAGGATTTATTTAGAGTATTATCAAGCTAAACAATGAAGTATTATAATCTGTCTCACCTGGAAGAAATATGCTCTCTCAACTGGATCTTTCAGCAGGCTCTGCACAAGTGCAATGAATGTGGACTCTGTTGTTTTCACCTCTGCATCCCTGTACTGCCACAGACAGGATTCACGTCATTTAAGGGTCATGATTATTTGTTTTTAAAAATGCATTTGTTGAACTTACATTTGTGTTTGCAGAGGTTATAGGGAGTTTGTCCAAATAGCTCTGGATAACTTGAGAATCAACAGAACCCCGAGCTGAGCCTTTGCAAAGCTCCAGAATCAACTGAAATATCAACAAATTGTTATGGCAAAATTATTAAAGCAAATTAATCACATACCCACACGATATAATAAAATATTTCTGCTCACCCTTGCTCTTAGACCCAGAATGAGCTGGGCTCTCTGTCTGTGGGTGATCAGCCCAGGGACGGCTTCTGTCACCATGAACACAAACTCCTGGAGCTTCTCATAATTCATCACATCTTTCTGCTTCGCCAGCTGCCACATAGCAGCCGACAGAAGCTGCAATGGGGGCACCAGGAGGCGAAGAGATGTAAGAGGTAGGCTTGGGTCTGAAACCCAAACGTGTAATGTGAGAGATGCTCAGTGGAGGGCATTATTGAGCTTTCAAGTAAAGACTTGCAAATAAACTCAACAACACAAATTTAACTAAAACCATTAAAAAATAATCTCTTTCACAGTGGAAATATAATAGAGGTAATGCTTTGCTAAATCAAAGAAATAGCAAAATTACTGATGAATCTGTATTTTCTTTTCTTTTATGTAAACTAATAAAACCTGCCCAAGTCCATGAACCAGTATAATTGCTGGACAAACCTATTTATTGCCAGCTTAAAACTTAAAACCTGTTAATGTATCTGCCGCTGTAATTTAGATCTCGGGACAACTAACTGCATTTCTTGATGTTATTGTTTGAGATCTCAATATAACAAGTTAATTTCTAATGCAACAGCACCGGTCTAACTGCTGATAATTGTTATATTCCTTTAAATAGACGGGGCCCGCTAACTAGCTGACTAACATAAACATAGCCTGCTTTAAAGTACAGCGGGAGCACATTATTAATTACATACCGTTTATTTTCTCTGTTGAACCATTAACCTCCATTAGTGCAATATGTCTCCTATAGCGTTGAGAAATATATGTAAAATAATGATGTTTAATTTTTTTGGCTAACATGCGCTGTTAGCACGCAAACGCCCGTTTCCTCAACTCGTCTCTTACGTTTCCTTTTTTCAAAATAAAGGTCTTATAACTCAGCTGTGAATTATCTTAATTTATAATGCATTAATAAATCAGTTTTTAATTTATTAGTTTTACAAACATATACAGTTCACCTAGATGGGGTAATTTTTAATTGATTTCTTACACTAACATTACTATATATAGTTATATATATATATATATATATATGATTCAAACAAATTAAACCCAATCACAATTTAAGGGCCACTACCAGCTTTTTCCAGGGTTTTTAACCGAATCACACGGTCTTTGCTGAGTGGAACTTTACTAAATGTTTTTGTTATACAACAATATAGTGTCAAGTTCTTATTCTTAAAGTTATATCAACAATGATACTCTGACACACAGGTGCTTTAGGATTTGACACTTACCAGCAATAATAGATTTATAGTTTTTTATTTTACCTACAGAGAAGACCGAACAACACATTTGGCCCTCTACCGGAAAAAGTGACAAATTGTGGATGTTAGAAAAGTATTAATATCCTTCCAAAACTTCTTTTGTTAAATTATGAGTTTTTAAAATTGTGAGTAGATCTTAATTACCCTCAATAAGTCCAAATAAAGAGACAGCTCTTTCAGAAATGCAGTGAAATGTAGAATGTTTTTAAAAAAAATTACATTTGTGTAAAAAATATTTATTTATCGTATAAATAACTTTCTGTCCTCTATTATAAAACTTAATTCAACACTACTTTTATTGTAAAAATCCTTCCCAAATAATTTAGATATAGTACAAGAGAACATCTGATGTTCAGTTGTTTCTGTAATGCAAAATACACATTCAGCTCATAGATTCAGCTACAAGACATAACCGGATGTTGTTGTTTTCCACAGAAAGGATGTCAAAATAAAAGCTCAAGCTACAAATCCCATTGGCTGATTCTACCGGACGTTACGACGCTATCTCAAGTCACATGAAACGTTTCACAGCAAATATCCTTACCACTTTATGTCTTTTTGCAGTGAAAATTCTTGCTATAAGAACTGAAACTGCACTGTAATCTGCAGGACGTTTAAAAGTCCAACATGGACGAGGACGGGCTGCCGATTGTGGGTTCTGGTGTTGATCTTACTAAGGTTGGTAACGTTATCTATCTTAGCAAACATTAACGTTAGCTGACTAACGTTAAGCTACATATTGAGGAACTGAGAAGAAGCAGGCCAAAACACTGCTGCCAGACAGTTGTCACCTAGCAAATCAGTAATAGTGAGTTTAGCTTACTAAAAATGTATTTAGCTTTAAATAAAGCAGCCGACAGTTCATTATTAATAGCAAACACCACCGTCAAACACCGTTTCCTGAAGGGTATAACGTTAAAAGTTCCCCATTTACTGTATTTGGGGATTTCTCTATGGGGATAGCGAGAATGACTTAATTTCCTTAATGCAGTACAACCCTGGGGTTCCGCCTTAAAATAGCTTTATCTGTGTTTCCTTCAGGTGCCTGCTATTCAACAGAGAAGAGTTGTTGCCTATCTCAATCAGTTTGTTGTGCACACAGTCCGGTTCCTGAACCGTTTTTCCACAGTTTGTGAAGAGGTAAGTGCATCTTCTTGTTCTCTTTACTTTTAACTTGCTTCTGCTGACCTGGTGGTTAGTTCACACAAGCTACGTCTTTAACACTTAGATCATACCCTGAACTGTCAAACGTCTCTCCCACAGAAACTTGCAAACATATCTCTTCGCATACAGCAGATCGAAACAACCTTGTGCATTTTGGAAGCTAAGGTGAGTTCTTGAGCCTCTCCACGTATTCTGTGTGCAGTTTCTGACACATGTCATGTCCATATGCACTGATAATATGTCAAATATTGTAATGCTCTGAGCAGCTGTCCTCCATTCCCGGGCTGGAGGATGTCACAATAGATGCACTCAGTCAGCGGCAACCTGCTCAGGCGAATGGACCCTCTACGGCCAGTCAGAGCCAGACAGATACTCCACCAGCAGAGACCCTGCCTCCCCCAGTGGTAAATGCACTCACATGCACACAAACAAGCATGTATTATTTTTCAACCACACTAAAGCAGAACAACAGTCCAAATCCAGGACTATGTGTTTTATGAACATGCACTTGCCTGCTCTTTTTGCACTGCTTATAAAAAGTCTGCCAGATGTGAACATTGCACTTAAAGGAACAGTTTAAGATTTTGGAAATGTTTTGTTCTCTTGCCGAGACTTAGATGAGAAAATTGATACCACTCTCGTATCTATGTGCTAAGTACAAAGCTAAAGGCAGGAAATGGTTAACTTTAGCGTGAAGACTGGAAACAAAGGGGAAATGGTTGGTTTAGCTCTGTGCAAAAGCGACAAAATCCACCTACCGGCACCTCTAAACCTCACTAATTTACATGCTGTATCTGGTTTGTTTAAGTACAACTCAACTTGGCAACTCCCTGTCAAACCACAACTGGTCACTTATGTTTATGTACAGATAAAACAAGTGAGACACATGGCTAAGTAGTGAGCTTAAGAGATGGTGGTAGGGAGATTTTTGAGCACTGGAGGGAGCCAGGCTAGGTGTTTCTTACTGTTTCCCTTCTTTATGATAAGCTAAGCTCACAGACTTCTGGCTGTAGCTTCATATTTAGCGTACAGACAGATCTTCTCATCAAACTCTCAGCAAGGAAGTGAATAAGCAACTATTACTCTAATGCAGCATACAAGTTGGCAAAGACAAACACAGGCATTATAGAAACACCAGATTATGAAATTCTCACAAACTCTGCAAGTCTTAAACCTACTATATTTCACACTGCAACCCGCTCAGGCAGCACCAGAGCCTGCAACGACGCAAAAAGCAGAAGCAGCAGCAGAGAATGTCATGACAGTGGCCAAGGACCCACGTTATGCTCGATACCTGAAAATGGTTCAAGTGGTAAGTCACCAGTCACCTGCTTATGGACCATAGGGAATAAAATAATAATCTGTGTGTTCTGTATCTCAGTACATGTTTTATTCATCACAGGGAGTTCCAGTTATGGCTATAAGGAATAAAATGGTCTTGGAGGGTTTGGATCCTAACTTGCTTGAGTGAGTGTTTTACAGTTATTGGTGATAATCATATACTAATCTCTTTGCATTCATGTGGATATATTATGAAACTGACCCATAACATTTCCTTCCCTGCTGATGACAGCACACCGGATGCCCCCGTGCCCGATGGAGGAACGAGGAGCACAGAGGATCAAGATGATGCTGCCGCCACCAGCTCTGACAGCGAGTCATCTTTCAGTGACTGACATCTGTTCTCTGTCCCCACCACCTCATAGCTTCCTGTAAACGCCATCCATCGCTATTCTGAGCTTCTGTGGGTCTGCACTCAGAAAGAGAAGTTGGTTGCATTGTGCCTGTGAAAGGGTGGTACTGGCGAGAGAGTGCAAATGTAAGTGCCTGAAACAGGAGAATCCAACCTGAGAGATTGTAATTTCAGTGGAAAAGAGCTGAAACAGCTTGCTTATGGTCGGTCAGTGAGCTCCTTATTTTGATACATTTAACGTTTTTGACAAATGATTTTCTCTGTTGATTATGTTAGCAGTAGTCAGAACATGGCAGAAGCATAAATTAATTATATACTGTAGAAGTTATTGATCTTGTTTGGTTGTCACACTAATATCGCAGTCTAATGCCTTTAAGAGGTAACACTCATCAGGTGAAAGTTGTGCCTCTTGTTACAGGGTTAAATATTTTGAATGTTTAATGCATATTTTGTAATTTGTGTGTTAAGGGCAGGGAGAAAGTAATAATAAGTATTGATTTCCTGTATATCACAACATCAGTTTGATGGGAAGGAACATCACATGTCTTTCAGCATGTGATGTTCCAGCCTGAAAGTCAGCTGTCATTCAGGAAGTATTTCGATAAAATAGTTCCAGGAATATTTTGACTTGTTGGCCTTTCACATGCTGTTTTTTTTCTGTATTTCTTAATTTTTTTATTTATTTTCTTTGTTATTTGAATGGGATTTTCAATATGTTGACAACAGTATCAAAACAGAAGTTATAAAGTGGAGTCTTCACATCACAGACTATTGTAAAGGAGTCGCAGTTGAGGAGCAGCATGCTTTACCTTGTTAACCACTACACAGAGAGAGGGTACTTCACCAGTAGTAACAGGTGGCTGTGCTGGAGGAACAAAAACTACAGTACACCATGTGTTATGCCTCTGTTGCTTTTTATTGTTAATTTAAGACTCAATTCCAGTGTCTGTGGAAAGTATTCAGACCCCTTGGCTTTTTGCACACTTTATTGGACTTTATAAGATGGATTATATTTCATTTTTGGCCATCAATTTACAAACAATAGTGTCATAGACTTGTTTTTAGAGATTATTGCAAATTTAATCAGAATATTTTCCAAAGCTGCTGCATGTGTCTTGATTTACCATACAGAAAAAAAACTCTAGTAGCCTATATGTCACCAGTGAAAGACAATAAAAAATTTTAAGAAATGTATTGCCTGGCTCTGCTTTGGGTACTTGCATAGCTATCTTTTTTCAATTGTCATGTCTCGTACTCGTAGGTTGGATTTGTAGATGTTTTGCCTGGAATAACGGTGTTTTGCACAGAAACATTCTGCTGAAATGAACAGTTAACAAATAATCAGTATGTAAATCAGTGAGAACTGTCAGGAAAATGTAATGTTTTTGTGAGACCATGTTGGTTGTAGTTAAACTCTTTATCATTAGATTCACCAGGACTTGTGACTACTATAGTGAATTCCAGGGTCAAGAATGCTTTAACACAAAAGAAAATGTCATATTCATAGGGTTTCTATGAATGGACATTACACTATAATGACATAATTGTGTGGCAAAGAAAAACAAAAGTTTAAGATGTGTAATAAACATTCAAATAGTTTGCTTTAAAAAAAAGTATACCTTTATTTTTAAGCTCAGCAGTGCATCATAATCTGTACAACACATTATGTTATAAGCAAAACCGTACCAATACAAATAATAATTTTCCTAGTAAATACAGTATATGTAGTGAACAGGTTAATAAGGTATGTTCATGTGACCTCCATTCTGTCTACTTACACATTACAGCACAGGATTTTTCCTTAGTAAGTGAATTAGTCCCATCTACTAATCACCAAATATATACCTAGAGATCTAAAAAGGAATACTCTTTAATGTGCTGACCATTGAATATATCGGCTGATACTTAAATGTATCTTTAATTGGGCAAACACTATGACACAAAAGTCTGACCACTTTTCTCAGCATGTAAAATGGTAATTAAAAACATCTCAAGCAGTCTGACAGTATTTATTTACTCTCCCATGCGTCAAGTAATTTCTAGTGTCCCCAGTGATGTTACTCACCCATACCATTGCAAAATATCTGCATATCAAAATAGCTACAGTATTGGTAGTATGCCCTTAAGGAACAGTTCCCAACCTGGGGCTTGACAATCTGAAAAACAAATTATATTTCTCCTTCACAAGATAATTCAGACTTTTCTCAAGTTACTAAATTTGCACAAAATGCTGGAAATACTTGCCTCTTCAGGCCCCTGAAAATCCTGCAAATTAAACCATTTGTGATGGAAAAGTCACTTTGGTTGACCTGCTGTCCACACTAATCTTTGACTAGGGGCTGCAAGTAGACATTTATTTTGTTTGGACGGGTCATAGGCCAAAAAGTCGGGAACCACAGAGAATAAAGGCTTTATTTATCTGCCTGAAAGCGAACAGAGAATGTCTTTAATTCTAATCATCCTCAATTCCTGTTTATTTTATTACAGCAATTCAATTTGGCAGCTGTACTTAGCAAACAAATTCATGAGTTCATTCAGTCAACACAAAGAAAACACAACAGGCTCAAAATTTAAATAAAAACGTAGGTTAAGGAACTGGCAGCATTTGAATAATAGTCCCATTTGAAGTCCTACATACAGTATCAGTGAGATAACTCTGCTTCACCATTTTCTTTCAAAACATCAGTAAGCCTACTGACTAAACCGCCATGTACCCAGAGACAAACTTGCTATGAGTTTGAGTGAAATTGTCATTTAACCACGTGTAGCAATCATGTGTTCACTGTGTGATGAACTTCTCTTAATAGTAGTCACAGGTCTGACAGGATGTGCCGTGCTGGTGTCTCAAGAGCAAAGTGCAAAGTGACATTTGAGTGAACACAGGCAGTAATAAGTACACTTGTAAATTATTTTAGATTGTATAAAAAGTATAAAGATACAGGCAGTGGTCAGTTTTCTCCTCTATAACTTCACACCAGTTGTCCAAAATGTATAAATAACAATGTAAAAAGGTGCCTGATGTTTTCTACCTACAAATTCAGTCAGGTGGTATAAAATTGTAGAAAAGCTGTGCAGTGTAAAATAAAAAAATATATCAGCATAAAAGGTTTACAAAAATAAATGCAGCACATTTTTAAACTACTAATATTCATACAAACGTTTGCTGGAAGTTGCAGTTCATGACTACTCCTCATACTCTGTTTTCACTCTTAAGGTAAACAGCTGTGGGAAATGAAAAGGGAGAAAAATTAGAATCCCTTCCAGCCATAAATAGAAAAAGAGTTTCTGTTTGATGGTGAGATACTTACTTTGAAATCTTCAATGTATGTGAGGAAGAAGCAGATGAAGCTGAAGGAAACAATCCACTCGCACACAGCGCTGGCTAATTGGAAGGGATAGTCCTGAAAGAGGGACACAGATGCTGCAGTGTCAGTACTACTCACTATCCTTTTTTTCTCACGTCTCCCCACATCCCTGTCAGATAGGCTCAAGCATTTCAGCTGTTTATACTTTAAACCTGCAGTGCAGAACTTTTGTCTCATCATTCTGACAGTGCCAGTATGCCTAATTACACAACCCTGTTGCGTTTATGATGTACGAGCTCTGCCTTACTGAGTTGCTGCTGTGGCTGACGTCGCTCCCCCCTTCAGGTCTGGCAAACTGATCATTGCTGGTTGGCATAAAACACATCACTATAGGTTCGCCAGCGCAGGAACACCACAGACAAAACTCAAACAAACAAAAACTCTGGTATACTACGAACTCGAAGAGAGAGCAATCTATTCACCATGACATCAAACTACTCCTCAACCATCACTCCAACCAGGGTGGTGAGAACCTTGGGTGTGATTGATGATTGATGACCAGCTTTCCTTTTCAGACCATGTTGCTACTGTCTCTCGGTTGTGCTGGTTTGGTCTATACAACATCAGAAAAATCAGGCCCTACCTCACTCAGTATGCCACCCAGCTTCTGGTACAGGCCATGGTTATCTCTCACCTCGACTATTGCAATACCCTCCTAGTTGATCTTCCAGCTTGTGTGGTGAAACCCTTACAAATGGTTCAGAACGCAGCAGCGCGTCTGGTTTTTGATCAGCCCGAAAGCACGCATGTCACTCCATTGCTGTGTGACTTCCACTGGCTACACATGGCCTCCCGAATCAGATTCAAGTTTCTAATGCTTGCATACAGAGCTACTACTGGGTCTGCACCCATCTACCTAAACTCCATAATACAAGTTTACGTTCCCTCTCGGCCACTACGCTCCTCCAACGAACGCCGCCTGGCTCTGCCATCGCTTCAAACAAAGCAATCTCAGTCCCGGCTGTTCTCATCTGTGACACCACGATGGTGGAACAAGCTACCACATACCATCAGAGCAGGGGTGCCCCTCTCTAACTTCAAGAAGCTCTTGAAAACTCATCTCGTCCTAGAACACTTTCTCTTATAACTCCTAACATCTAATATGCACTTCCTTCTTCTTCTATCCCCTTACAATTATCTTGTATTGATTGCACTTTTTTGTTAAATCTTACTTCTTTTCCGAGGTATTGCCCCATTGATGCGATATGTGCTATTAGCTCTTACTAGTATGTATTGCTGCTCGTACTAGTATGCATTGTCAGTTGTAGATCTCGTGCTGTATTTGATGCTCTGTTGATGCTTGTATGTTGTTCCTCAAATGTAAGTCGCTTTGGATAAAAGCGTCTGCCAAATGAGTAAATGTAAATTTACCTCGCATTGTGTGAACTCGTTTGGCAAGGGCTTGAATGTAATGGACATTCATTTACATGTAACAGTCTCGCACTCCAGCTTTTAGCTAACTATTTCAACTTCTCTACTAGCTTGCTAAATACTTTCAAGACGCTCCCACAGCTCTAAGGTGTTACAACTGGGTTGGTGGGAGGTGTGTACTGTGCAGTCAGCCTATCATAGCTGTTAGCTTACCGGTTATGTGTTGCTACATTTACAATTAAGATCAGCATTACACCAATTTGTAATGCTATTTTGGATGTTTATGTTTCTTTGATCAAATCATAATTTTGTCATATTAGTTGAGCTACTCCACAATGTTACCATGTACCCCGCATGGGCTACCAGTATCCCTGGTTGGGAATCACAGACATAAGACAGAAATGCAGCAGCGACTACTAACAATGAAGTGACTGGAACTAAGGAATGTTTAGCAATTTTGCTTGAAAAAACGACAAGTGATTAATCAGTCATCAAAAAGTTGCTGATTATTTCTCTGCCTATTGTCTAATCGACTTATCGTTTCAGCTTTAAACTGATGCATATGACAGTGAAAAACTGCAGCTTACCTTGTCTTGCGTGTCTCTGTGCAGCTCAGTTTGTTTCACAAAGAAGGCACAGATGACAGCTGAATTATTCATTAAGGAAAATGACATTTAACAATGGATGGCACTAAATGTGACAGGAATATAGCATAATGTGCATTTACTGGAAGTAACACTAAAGACTCTTCAGCTGATCCAAAATGCTGCAGCACGTGTTCTGACAGAAACCAGGAAAAGTGATCATACTTCTCCTGTCTTAGCTTCTCTGCACTGGCTTTCTGTAAAATCCAGAATAGAATTTAAAATCCTGCATCTCACCTGCAAAGCTCTTAATGGTCAGGCACCATCTTATCTTAAAGAGCTCATAGTACCTTACTACCCTGGTGAGTCCTGAACCATCACTTAGTTATGCTGCTATAGGCCTAGACTGCCGGGGGACTTCCCATGATGCACTGATCTCCTCTCTCCTCTTCTTTCTCTCCCTCTGTATGCAACCTCATCCCATTAATGCATGTTACTAACTTGACTTCTTCCCTTTCCCATAGTCTTATGCTTTCTCGTCCCTCTCCTCTCTCCTTCTATCACTTCCTGCAGGTGTTTCTGGCTCTGGAGCTGTGGAGTCTGGATCTGTGGTTGCGACTCACCTGCTGCCCCCGTGTTCCTGCTCGACACCCTCTGCTACAATTATTGTTAGTAGTCCTGTTGTTATTATTATCATTAACATTACGATTATTATCATAAACTAACATTACTATACATATCTGTACCATTAATCATTCAGTCTGTACCAACATCACCTTTACTGTCTGTACCTCTGTGTATGTATTGTTTAGGCTGCCCCCCCCCCCCCCCCCCCCTCTCTGCCTCTTTATGGCTATCTCTCTCTCTCTCTCTC